CCAGGGCCCCACAATAGATATAATAATGAGTAAGTTGGAAATACTGTAAGATTTACCAAACTGTGACACGGACGTGAAGTGAGTACGTGTTGGTAAAACGGAGCCAGCAGACTTGCTTAGCATGGAGTTGGCACACTGAAGTGAAGCTATTAAGACGAGACACGGTGATAAATCAAAGCAGATGTCTCATACCGCCAGGAGCTGTGAGGCAGCCATCTAGGAGGGGAGCAGCTGAGCCAAGGCTCCACCTGGGCCTGGAACACAGGAGACCTCACACACAAGCTCCTCTGTCCTCCCTGCCTTGTCACATGCTTGCACTGCTTCAGCATGAATAAAATAAAACTTTTTTAAAACAGTGTCTCTCACATTGGAAGACTAACAACCCTGACCCCAAACTACCACAAGCCATCTGATCTAAGGGATGTGTCACTGAGAGGCAGGCAGACATCCCACACTATTGACACTATGACGTCGATACTTGGTGAAGACATGCTTCAAAAAGTTAATCACTTCCACGTTCTAGATGAAATAACAAGCCACCTAATTCTAATCTCGATGCAGCTCCCTGTACCTGCCTCACAGGCTCATGTCTACCAATTCCTGCTTTTCACCCTTAAAAAATGTATACCTGGAAGAAACAGTGCTAAGATGCCCATCCTTTAATGCAGCCTTACCCCAGGTGCTTTCAGAAACCCAGTATCCTGGGATGCTCAAACAGGCACACACCCAATCCCCACGGAGGAACGCAGGCTCCAGTGTGGGCCACCACATCACTGACGAGAAACACAGGAGAACGAGGCCGTGTACCTTTGTCTCTTTCCCCACACACATCGTATCTGGATCAAACACTGCTCTCTCGCAGCTAAAGTAACAGCAGCGGCCAAAATTCAGCAGCATCCGATTGCTTTTTAAAGTCAAAAATAAGCAAGAAAATATTAAAAAGTGACAAACTTAGGAAGTGGTGGGGTGAGTCCTCATTAAGGGTCTGCACACTGGCAAATAAGAATCCCATCTAAGTTTTCACATCGCTGCCAGAGATTACCAGGCATCATCTCAAGCTAACCAACTCCTAAAACAACATTTAAAAGAAATGTTTCTGCTGTGCGTCAGATAATAAGCTTTCCAAAAATGGGAGAATTGAAGTTGGCTCATTAGAAATAACCATCTAAAAGAAACCTGAGAGCATCTATGCATACACAGAAAACCGAGCTTGTAAGCACACAGAATGCGACTTCTGTCCTCACCCCCCAGTTTGGCTCTGGGGGTACTGACCTGCCATCTGCCTGTGCCCTGCCATGCCGAGCACACCTGACTTCCCGCTGCACAGCAGCAGCACTCCCACGGGGTGGTCTGGGGCTTCTCTCTCCTCTCCTGCTCCCTTGAATCTAGGAAATTTTGGCTGTGGGGTGGGTGTGAGTGCATGTAAAACAAACACACATCTGTGTGTATAAAATGCAGTGGAAATCCATGGGTTTTACATATCCAAAAAAAGGTCCGTAGAAAATAAATGCTAAGTTAACAATATGTAGCTTCCATAACATCATACACGTTTAGGAATAATACACAGTGCTTTTGATGCAAACATTAGAAAGATCCTCACACAGAATCCTGGAAGGTCTCTGTCTTCAAAGACGGACTATTTCAAACAAGAAACGACAAGCAGAGAAAATGTTCAGGCATGCAGCCTGACAAGAGCACTTCCTCTACAACCAGAAGACAGCAGCAACCCAGCTGTGACACTCCCCGGGGCGGCAGGAGAGATTCAGAGCAGATTCTCCAGAATCTATCTGGAGAAAAAAGCTGCCTAAAAAATACCATTCCCAGGTAGACCTTCGTTTCTCTTTACTCAGTAAGAATCAAAACACAACACAGAAGAAAAGGTTCAACTTCAAGGAAGTCAGTGTTTCCCCTACACAAAGAAGTGATCTGGACACGACTCCCAGGGAGAGAAGTCTGTTAACTCTAGAACCCAGGACAATTCTGATTTCAGAACATTAAGCATTTGCTATCCCATCATATTCAGGCTGACATTAAATACACTCTTCAAAATGGAAACCCTATTACAAACCAGAAAGTCCTATAGGAAAAGATGTAATGCAGGAGTCCCCCCCCATCTGCAGTGTCACATTCCGAGGATCCACCCTCAGTCCAGAACTCAGACTGGGAACACCACTTGTTTTCCTCTCCACACAGACCTCCAATAAAGTCTGGTTTGTAAATTAGGCACAGTAATAGAGTAAGAATAATAATAAAAGAATTGTAACAAGATGCTGTAATAAAAGTTATGTGAATGTGGTTGCTCTCAAAATACCCTACTGTCCTTCCCTACGCTGACTACAGTGCCTGAGCATAAGGGAAGGGGCCCTGTGCTGAGACGTAATTGTGAACTGACAGCTTTAACCACTACCACACAACGTGGCAAGAAAGAGAGTTTGCACCTGGCTCAAATGCCCACATTTAAAATCAGACCTACATAACTTTCCATAATAACATACTAATATTTCCACTGGGATGGGAAGTCATTCCCTAAAAAGTTTATTCCCTAGGTTCAACCCTCAGATGAAGAAAATTTAGCATAACAAATCACCAACATGACCAAATATTGCATTCTTTTTTTTTTTTTTTTTAGACAGAGCCTCAAGCTGTCCCCCTGGGCAGAGTGCCGTAGCATCACAGCTCACAGCAACCTCCAACTCCTGGGCTCAAGCGAGTCTCCTGCCTCCGCCTCCCAAGTAGGTGGGACCACAGGCGCCCACCACAACGCCCGGCTATTTTTTGGTTGCAGCCGTCATTGTTGTTTTGGCGGGTCCGGGCTGGGGATTCGAACCCGCCACCTTAGGTGTACGTGGCTGGCGCCTTAGCCGGTTGAGCTATAGGCGCCGAGCCTGCATTCTTAATACTTTAATGAACAGGAAGAAAAGAGAAAATACTCCAAAGTTTTTTAGGTCTTAGTTTGGTACTGAAATTCTAGACTCAGTGTGGCCCCTGGGAAGAGCTCTCTGGTAATAACACATCTATCACATGCACACAGAGAGCTGGCTGTACACACGAGCACTTGGAAACAAAGAGAATACAAAAGTGGGGGTCCTAGGAAGGACCAAGTGAGGGTCATGTTTCTAAACACGTAACACTGGTCCTTCCCAGAGACCTTCTTCCCTGACGGCTCTGAGGCCCACACGACACGCAGAGCCTTCCCTGGACTTGAAAAAGGTAGCAGCACATGTTTAAAATCAACTACCACCAATAACAGCCAGTGCTGAAGACACTCAAATACGGGAAATCACTCCCAGGGGGCACCTGGACAGGATTCTGAGACTCATAAATCTTATCTCTTTTGTGTAGTTTCTCATGCTGTGTTAGCTCTGAAAAATCCAAAGTTAACTCTAAGAAATACCTAAAAAGTAAAAATCCATTCATCTGTACTTTTAATGTGGCTCTTCAAAATGAGATCAAAATTCACATTTAAATGACTATTCACATGAGAAAGAAGGAGAGTTCATGACTGCGAGGCAAGACTGGACCAGGCTCCCTGCCTTACCACCTACTCCACCCATCCCTTCCCTGGCAAAGCTGAGCAATGACATCGTCCTTCCTGTGCCTGGCTCAAGATCCTCCTGGAAAGTCCACTGGAGCCACCTCTGGACTCTAAGCCCAGTGTCACTCTCATTAGTCCCCGGAGAAAAAGGAATTCTCTGATTGGTGGGACCAGGATCAGAGCTGCACTTGAAGCCTGGACGCAGCTACCCCAGCCCCAGGTCTCCGAGCAGCTCACAGAAGCCCTGGCCAGACTGTCCCACTGAGTCAGTCCATAAAGCTGACGCCTATGCCCCCTCAGGCTGCTACCAGCGTCATGCTCTCTGCTGCTCTAGGCATGTTAAAGGATGTCATTTATTTGTACATTGTCCTCCTTAGCATCCCAATAATACTTGCTTTCAAGGGCTATGGTGAGAAATGATGTCCTGAACAAAAAGCACTAAAGTAACAATAAATACAGTAACCAGAACGTAAAGAGCAGCCAAAAACATCTTGCCTAAGTTGACTTTGTTATAATAATACAGATACCACTTTTTATTATAAATATTGCCAACTACAAAAAATTAGCAAGAATAAGAGACCACCTCACACTCAGCAGGATGGCTATTATCAGATCATAAAAAACCAGCCAGCAGGGACTGGAGAAGCAGAGCCCTGGCACTGCTGGAGGGCATGTGAGCTGAGGCAGCTGCTGTGGAGAACAGGACAGAGCTCCCCAAAAGTTAAACATAGAACTACCATCTGGTCCAGCAGTTCCATTTCTAGGTAAATACAGAAAAGAAATGAAAGGACTCGAACAGAGACTTATACAACCATGTTCTCAGCAGCGTTAATCACAGTAGCCAGAAAAGAGCTTTCAATCCCATAATAACAGCACGTCAGAGGAAACCCTGAAACCATCGCCCTGGAACCATCGTGTTCAAAAAGTCAGTAAAAGCAGTGTTAATCAACTTCAAGAAAAACAATGAGAGCGATACATTTTAAGAAAATCACTTAACTGTACAGAGTTATTAGCAAAAGTACCTATGCTCATAAAAATCAAATGTAATCCAGATACTACAAACTCCAAACACTGCCCTTAAAGAAGGATAAATCGTATTTTAACATAAAAGTATAATTGCAACAACTAACTCACAGATGGGAGATGTTTCTCTTTCCATGTAGAGCAGAAGTTCTCAACCTGTGGGTCACGACCCCTTTTTAACAATGAAAATACACTGCGGCATTAGGAAGGTTGAGAAGCACTGCTCTAGACCATGTCCTGACAGAAGGGAACAGCCTGATCCCAGCAGCCCAACATGGGAGTAGGTAAACACCCACGCCCCCCAACAGACACCTTAGCTTCAGACCAGGTGCCCTACACAAGGTCAACTGGAAAGCAAACTGCCCAGTTCATCTCCTTCTCCCTGTTCCTCACGCAGGAGGAAGTTGGTCAGTGCTCCCATAGGCCAGGCTCGCCTACTTACCACTGGCCTTGATCTCGCGCACATAGTTGCTGGGAAACCAGCCAGTCCGGCCACCATGTGTGCCCTCCCACCAGCCTCCCTCCTCCACACGGGTGACATGGATGACGTCCCCCTTGGAGAAGGAGAGCTCATCCTCATTGGTCTGCTGGAAGTTAAACTTCGCTCTCACTACCAGTTGATTGTTGGTATGATCGGTCATGTCCTGAAAGACAGAAGGGTGGGAGAAGAGTTACAGGGGCAGAGGAGCCAGGCAGTGCCCACAGTCATCTCAGGTCCTCTCTCCCAGCGCACCGTGACCCCACCCCATTCCAGCCCCAAAGGACACACTCTCAAGGGCTTTATAAAAACAGTCCTGCTCCGCACTGTTCTGCCTGTATAAACATGCACACTCTCTCAGACATACAGAACTGACTGTACATCAGTCCCTACAAGCTACAAAAAGTTAACAGGTTGTGGTCATTTTCTCAGGAGTACTTCTAGTTACTTAAATAACTGCATAGAATTATACTGTATGACTGTATCATTATTGAATCAGCTGTCCATTAATGAATTTTCAGGTTATTTCCAGTATTTTTAGACATACTACAGATAGTATTTTTCTCTTTTTGCAAAACAAGGCCACATTAAAAATACTTGCATCTTCATGGACACACCTGTAAACAAGCCTATACATTAAACTCTGGTCAGAAGACACGTTAGGGACATTTTTTAAAATTTTCACATATATTACAGAACCTCTATAAGCCGACCACCCAAGGGACTCACTAGTCGACAAAGGGAAGTAGTCAATGTAAGGTTCTAGGTCTACTGTACAGTACACATGTCTGGTCTATGAAAATCAGGTCACCTTAAAGAGGTGGTCAGTGTAGGGAGTTGGTCAACTACAGATGGTCTACTGTATTTTTAAACTGCCCTCCAAAAAGGTTCTACAAATGTACACTGAAAGACATTCCCACTAACAGCATCTAAGATGTATTTCATCAAGCTTTCACCAACACTGGATATTGCCAAAGATATTTATTTTTGCTAAACTTGAAAAGAAATGGTGTCTCATATTTTAATTTGTATTGTTCTCAGAGACTCGGAGGTGGGAAAAGGAAGGCAGATGCAGGTTGCCGTTTCCTTGGGACTGGGCTCTGGAGAGGCTGACACCCCCAAAGGTGCTACAGGGAGCAGACCAAAAGAGGTCTCCAGGACAAGCCTGCACTCACTGGCCACAGGAGTGAGGAGTGACCAGCAGCAGCATGCAGGCCACTCAAATCTCTTCACAGCACCAGAGACCCTGCTCCTCCAACACCAATAGCAGGTGAGCATCTGAGCACGGTACCAACAGAACCTGTGAGGAATGATTTCAGGCCCATGGAGCACCAGTGATATGAGCAAGGACTTGACAAGGATCCAGGCCTCTCTCCCCACACGGGTACCTCACCACCTCCACTCAGTCACAGGGAGGACCAGGTCCAGTATCTCCCCACCTCCACCCTAAATACACAAAAGGACCCAGGCCAAGAATCTCCCATCTCTACCCAGAGACAGGAGGACTCTGGCCCAGAGGTTCTTGACACACACAGCCCCACCACCAGCCCCCAGGGGTACTCCAGCAGAGGGCAAGGCCACAGGCAGGAAAGGAAGCACGCTCTTACCAACACCAACTTCACCTAAGGGGTGAGGAAGGAGTGCTGGATTCACTGTCATTAGCGTCATGAGAACCCAGAACGATGTATTTAATCTCTATTTTATCACTGTGGGCTTGTGTTCCCCTTCCCTTTTTTAAAAGCTCTCCTAAAACCGCAGCCTGTCTGGCTCAGCCTTGCAGTCCAGGACAGCATAAATCACATGAGCTAAGCAAAAGTCAGTTGACTTAAAAAAAAAAAAGTATACACTGTAGAATCCCAGGTGAAACCCACCTTTACTATTAGCAGTCAGGACAGCACATGCCTCTGGGAAAAGCAAACCCAACCAGGAGCCCAGGAGCCCAGGCGCTGGCTACATTCTGTCCCTTTGTCTGGGTGCAGCCCGCACGGCCATGCCAGCTTTGTGAAACTCAAGCTGTAGGCATGTGACACCTACACTTTTTATACATACACTCCATGTCAATAAACATCAGTGAGCAGAGAGGAAATGAAGACAATTCCTAACCCAAAGAGGAAAAGTGACCCCATCCAGCAGCAACTTATACCCAACATGTTTTCTTTTTTTTTTTTTTTTTTGAGACAGAGCCTCAAGCTTTCCCCCTGGGTAGAGTGCCGTGGCATCATAGCTCACAGCAACCTCCAACTCCTGGGCTCAAGCGAGTCTCCTGCCTCCGCCTCCCAAGTAGCTAGGACCACAGGCGCCCACCACAACGCCTGGCTATTTTTTGGTTGCAGCCATCATTGTTGTTTGGCGGACCCAGGCTGGATTCAAACCCACCAGCTCAGGTGTATGTGGCTGGCGCCTTAGCTGCTTGAGCCACAGGCGCCAAGCCGCATGTTGTCTTAATGGACTCTTGATTCCCTCTGCCACAACACCGCCCCCAGCATCTTGTTTATTCAGCTTAATCAAGTACTTCACTCTATCCACTGTTCTGAAGTTGCCCAAACAACCCTAAACCAACATCCTAAAGCAGGCATCCTCTAACTGCGGCCCATGGGCCACATGCGGCCTGCTGGGTGTTTTTGCCGCTGCTGCCTGTCTTGCTTAGCAGCTGACTCATCCCGGGGCCCGCAGTCGGGCTCTCCAACAGTCTGAGGGACAGTGAACTAGCCACCTGTTTAAAAAGTTTGAGGACCCCTGTCCTTTACACCAATGCCACCTTCTCCTCAGCTCCCCCAAAAGTACCTACACCTGCCATTTCACTTATGGAAGAAAAGTTTGCCAAGGAGTGAAAGACCCAATTTCTTCTCCAGTGTTTCCCATTTCCCAGTGCTCTGACCTTGTGAAAGTATCTATCTTCTCGGCTCGGCGCCTATAGCTCACCGGGCTAAGGCGCC